ATTTATAAAGCCCAATATCACAAATCACAATTTGCCTCACAGGGCTTTACAGCAAACGACATCCCTCTGTCCTTTGGACCCTCACAGCTGATCAGGAAAAACTCCCCAAAAAAACCCTTTAACGGGGTAAAAAAAACGGTAGAAACCTCAGGAAGAGCAACTGAGGAGGGATCCCTCTTCCAGGACGGACAGACGTGCAATAGATGTCGTACAGAACAGATCAACACAATAAATTAACAGTAATCCGTATGACACAATGAGACAGAGAGAGAGAGAGAGAGAGAGAGAGATGCAGGACAGATGGTAATGACAGTAGCTTACAACAACATTAATAAAAGTAATAATATTATAATTTATAAATTATATTAATTATTAATTATCATTTGACTTGACTTTCCCTGGACAGTGATGTGCAGTAGACCTGCCTCTGGTCCTAGTCAGGATGTCAGTTAAGAATGTGTTTTTCATTGTGTGAGACACAGACAGCATGTGAAAAATGCCAAATACATAAGCCACATGGTCAAGGCATGACAGTTGGCAACCCTTCTGTGCACCGACGCATATGAAGGCCAATAAATTTCCTGAACGACTCAAATTTGACGTTCACCACTGTGCCTATGCACATTGCACATCAAGCTGTGTGATATAGTATTATATACTTAAAAGAAAGGATAGCACATCCTATTCTTTAGAAACAAATATTTTAAACTGTATGTTACATTTAAGCAATATCACACAAGAGGGAGTGATGTTGTACTGTAAAACCCATGTCCAGCTAGCTTTCTTTCTAATGGATCAGTAAGTAACACGGCTAAATGTTAGCTAGACCGGAGAGGACTGTACTGTACTGGCTGCTAGTTCATTCCTAGCTGGCCAGCATCGCAAATCACCGCAACCAGGGAGGGGGTAGCGAGTGTTGGTCGGCTGACATCCTGGTTGCCATTCTATGGCAGCCCTCGGACAGTGATACCCCCCTCCCGAGGCAGCTATCCACGGACATCGCCCAGCTAAGTGAACACTGGACTTTTCACTGCAACAGCCTTAAACTGAGTAGCATCAAAATCAGTTAACGTTAGTCCACACAGCTCTCCCAAGCTGGCCTGGAGAGCAGGGAGATCATGTCGGTCAATGGCCATAAATGTGAGGGCAGCCTTCGCAGCTACTGGGCACCCAGCCTCTCCAACCGGGAGAAGTGGAGTAAAATCCTCTCCTCCGCTCCCGTTTGTCTGGTGAACGCCTCTCCTCTGTCAATACACTCTGCCAGCAGTTTAATAATTTTGATGCCAGTTGTAACATTTGAATCTTTTAGTAGTAAGCCATGTTCTAAGCGGGATAATGTACAGTGAGCCACTGACTGTTGAAAAATAACTCCCCTGTGCGTCGGGGTTCCATTCCCCTGTCGGGAGTTATTTTTCAACAGTCACCAGCTCACTATACATTATCCCTTACGTGTCTACTGTTGTTTGTACTGATACTGTGCATATTTACATTACTATTTGTTTTTTCTTCAGATAAATCTGATAGTTGTTGCTCGGTCTCTTCACTCATTTATTTAGTAGAGTGTCCACACACCTTCTCATTCTACCTATACATAGAGGTATACTGGTGGCTTTACAGCCTACATTTTATTGATTATCTCTGATCCCCACGCTCAATTTGGTTGTTGCGACAGTGCGAGCAACACCGCTGACACCAGGTGGCGCAAGCTAAAAAAAGAAAACGAATCCTATCTGTTGCCTCTTTAAGTATGTTATGTAGCTCCGCAAAAAGAAAAAAAAAAACAGTTCCCCCGGTCTGTTGCCAGGCAACGCAGCACACACGCCAGGAACTCACAAGCTACTTTGTATTTACATTGACCTGCAACTGTGTAACTTCGTCTAGTTCGGTTGATGAAACATTGGCAAACCTGGATGTTGGCACGGCCGGATTCAAACGCACCTGGAGGTCTGCACAGAAGAGTCGTGGCTTTCCTTTTCCTCGTTCTCTCCTGACGACCACTCATAATTTAATTCAAATGTAATTTGGGGGGAAATATCCATCTTCTTGGTGTAACGCTATAGTGTCAGTTTGCGTCAATGTAACGAGTGTGACAGTTGGTTAATTACCGGATGTATTTATATTTATAACACCTGTGAGCGGAGTGATTTTACTGTTACATGTCCCAGTGATGTTATACTCTATATCAGCACTCACTGAATGCCTCTTGTCCAATCAAATTACTCAGTCGGAACTAACTGTTGTATAAAAAACGCTTTCTTTTCTCAGTGTGTAGATATGGCTGCTGCAAGCTATCTGCCATCTGAAGATCAGTTTCTGTGCTCCATCTGTCTGGATGTGTTCACTGATCCTGTCAGCACACCATGTGGACACAACTTCTGCAAAAACTGCATCACTAAACACTGGAATATTAGTGACAGGTGCCAGTGTCCAATGTGTAAAAAGGTTTTCGACACAAGACCTGAGCTGCGAGTCAACACTTTCATCTCTGAGATGGTCGCTCAGTTCAAACAGTCAGCTCAACAGAAAGCCAGCAGCAGCAGCTCACAGCAACAAGTGTCCACACCAGGAGATGTTCCCTGTGACGTCTGCACTGGAACCAAACTGAAGGCCCTGAAGTCCTGCCTGGTGTGTCTGGCCTCCTACTGTGAGACTCACCTGGAGCCTCATCTGACAATGTCAGGCCTGAAAAGACATCAGCTGATCGACCCTGTGGAGAACCTGGAAGACAGGATGTGTACGAAGCACGATAAACCTCTGGAGCTGTTCTGTAAGACCGACCAGACATGTGTCTGCATGCTCTGCCATGTTTCAGACCACAAGACACATGATGTTGTTCCTCTGAAAGAAGGATATGAAGAAAAGAAGGCTGAGCTGGAGGCTGAAATTCAGCAGATGATCCTGAAGAGACGACTGAAGATTCAGGAGATTAAACGCTCAGTCGACCTCAGTGAGAAAGATGCAGACAGAGAGATAGCAGAAGGTGCTCAAGCTTTCACGGCTCTGAAGGAGTCCGCTGAGAGAGGCCAGGCCAATCTCATCGACACCATTAAAGACAAGCAGAAAACAATGAAAAGAAAGGCCGAAGTCTGCATTGAAGAACTGGAGCAGGAAATTTCTGAGCTTAGGAAAAGAAGCACTGAAGTGGAGCAGCTCTCGCGCCCAGAGGACCACCTCCATCTTCTCCAGAACGTCGAGTCCCTAAACACCCACCACCCAACACCCACCAAGGACTGGACAGTGGTCACCTTCTGTCCATTGTATGAGGGGACTGTGACGAGAGGTGTGTCTCAGATGGAGGAGACACTCAGTAAAGAGACGAGGAAGCTGGTTGAAGCTGAGCTGAAGAGAGTCCAGCAGTATGCAGTGAATGTGACTCTTGATCCTGATACAGCACATCCTGAACTTCTCCTGTCTGATGATGGGAAACAAGTGCATCATAGTGACGAGAAGGAATGTTTCAGCTACAGTCGAGACAGATTTACTCATCAATATCGGGTTTTAGGAAAGCAGAGTTTCTCTTCAGGCAGATTTTACTTTGAGGTTCAAGTTCGAAGAAAGACTGAATGGACTTTAGGAGTGGCCAGAGAGTCAATTCGCAGGAGAGGATACAACAGACTGAGTCCTTACAATGGTTACTGGACCATATGGTTGAGAGAAGGAAATGAATATGCTGCTCTTACTGAACCTTTAGTCCGTCTCTCTCTGAAGTCTCAGCCTCAGAAGGTGGGGGTGTTTGTGGATTATGAGGAGGGTCTGGTCTCCTTTTATGACGTAGATGCTGCAGCTCTTATCTACTCCTTTACTGGCTGCTCCTTCACTGAGAAACTCTTCCCATTCTTTAGTCCCGAATGTAATGATGATGGTAGAAACTCTGATCCTCTGATCATCTCTCCTGTCAGAGTAAAATAATCCCTTCTTAGGGTGTGGGCAGTATCTGGTTTTTCATACCTTCATACCCCCCTGAACTTTTACTGGGGTATATGGTACATAACGGTATCACACTTCATTCTAACTGGACAGAAACAAAAAACAAGGATCACCAGGATAATCTTGTTAGTCATCTAGTTAGTTGGTCCACTATTCCACCAATCACCAGCTCTGGTTTTCTTCATAATAATCCCTTTAAACACCGAGTTGGATGTCAAAAATATGCTGTTTTTGGTGTCTCTCTCTCAGTTGTTGCTGGCCGTCTCTTTACTGCAACATTATCCCCCACCACCACTCTGGAGAATGACCTCTGGTGGTGCATGCTGTGCATTACATACAATGGGTTTAACAGACAGAGGAGGGCGCATATTTCTGACGGTACTGAAAATCATAATGTCAGGATTTCTGAATACCCTAATATACCGTAATACTGGGGATACCCCCCAAGCCTATCCATGTTATTTCATATACTTATTTTCATTCAAGGGAATAAATGTTCATATTTAGAGTGAATACTGTATAGGCAGAAACTGTTTACTGTGATCAGGGCTCGACAGTGCGAGCGTTTCACTCGCATTTGTGACTAAAAATAGGTGTGTGCAAACTGTAAAAAATATTTAGGGGCACATGTGTGCAGAAAATCAGAGCGGTGCGTGACACCAAGGGTAGCGGTGCCGCTTTGTCAGGCATTGCTGCCCTCTCCATAGACAAACAATAGGACAGCCAGCGCAAAGCGGTTTTACAGCTGATCATGTGTAGAGGCCTTTAGGGACTGTTCGCCACGGGACCGCTGCTGGGCAGGGTGGAAATAAAGCCCTTTTCACACAGAGCGCACAAAGCGCAGACCTCTGCCGATGAACCCATTCATTGTGTATGTGCTACCGCAGCGCAAGAGCGCACTGCTCTGCCGCCAAGCTGAGCGGCACGCGAGGGGGGCGCATGTCGTGGCGTCTGCGCGCCGCCAGCCTGCACTCGAATTGAATTTTTTTTAATTTCACCGCAACGTGCTGTGACAACACCTCAGCGCCGCCAGTCCAATAGCAGAGAAGAGCCTGAAGTAGACCCGGAAGCGGTCACCATGGAGCTGTAGCTCCTGAACGAGCATGTACTCCCCCAAATCCTGTCCTCTGCGCCCTACCCCGTGGTGGGCGCCTCGAAAGCTCTGTGTGAAAGAGGCTTAAGTCCTGCAGAGTTTCAGAGGACTTGGAGAATGTTTTAGGATAGTATTAACATTATATAAGATAATCATATTGCAAAGATAATATATATAAGATAATACCTTTCTCTACATTTTGTATACAAATTCATTACATAATTTTGCTTGTAAATGTCCATTTGCATCACATTTATTATGGAAAACACATTATTTGATTGTGCCCCTAAAGTTCTTTGTTTAGGAGCACACGTGCTCCTTGGGAAAAAAGTTAGCGTCAAGAACTGTGTGATGGTTAATTTACACTTCACCGTTTAGATTTTTTTCATTATATCGATCACATTACATTCGCAACACATTAATTTCATGTTTGGTGATTTCATCTCTTCAACTCTGCATCATGACACACGGATCATGTGAGGAATACCTATTTAAACCTCTGTTAAACCCACAGACATTTATTTTCACTCCCAGATGGAATCAGTATCTTAAGACATCAAATCTGTCAAGATGCAGTATGAGTAAACAGCAAAAACAAAAATGCAGCAAAATATCTAGTTTTCTCTATTTAATGTGCTGCCATGTAAAACATATTGCCAAATATATTTCTCTGTCATAAAAACTTGATTTAAGAGTATGCAAATTACATATCAATAGTGTCTACAGAATACAGTATGTGTCATTGTTATACTGGGTGTAAAAAGTTAGTAAACAAAGGTAATTCATAGAATACATGCTAAGAGAATTTTCTGTCTTGTGTAAATAGCAGTTTGGTTAATCACTGGTCAGTTTGGGCAATTGTTATGTGTTTTGTAAATACTGGTGAGATAGTTTATGAGTCACAGAAATCTGTAAATATGTGATTGTTGAATGAAATAAAGTTGTTGTTGAACTCAAGGCCTGAGTAAGCAGTGACTTGAACATTAAAGAAAATCCTGGTTTACACAGAAGTTATATTTCCTGACAAACACACACTGTTTCCTGTGGCTGCTTCACAATAAAAGCCCCCTTGTTTTTCATCATTTTGATGCTTTTAATGTGAAGCAGTGTCAGGAGGAAATGTTTGTTTCCACTAGCAGTGACTGAATCCAGTCTGGCTGTAGGAGAGTGAACAGTAACAGTGAGGCTGATATCAATGAGACAGAATTACACTGGATTACATGCTGCATCGTTTCCTGTCAGTCCCTCATGTGTGTGAAGGCCATCACCACTGACAATGGACACTACTATATACAGAGAGGGAATTACTGACTCTAAATACATGATATAGCTTTTTATACCAGCCATAAATATCATGAAACATGGGGTTTGATTCAATAAAAATCTGCAGTGTTAGGCTTTGTCATATGTTGAGCACAAGTTGCTTTAACTTCCACAGTTCTTCTTGCAGGTAACAAGACTGACAACAATAACTTTAGTTTTCTATGTTGTGAGTTGACCTTATATTTTCAAGACAAATGTCATCACTGCCAACAAATGGTGTATAATCTCTCTGACAGAGTCATCAACAATAACTGATGAGTGCAGGGTATTAATGTAACTTGTCAACATTTGTGGAGACCTGACAGCCTTCCTCATGTCTGACCACTTGTACATGACTCCCTGCTACACTGCAGCAACAACAGGCCTCCATGTAGACCACTAACTGCTGTTAAGACACACAACGACCACTAGATGGATCACAACACAAAGGAATGATGAGCCCAGAGTTACTGTACTGCTGCCATGCCGAGCACCAAACACTCCTCATCTCACAATAGTTACTCCTCCCACCTGTCAGGTACAGCTCCACCTTTGCTCCATATTATCCAGAGAAAACCCTGGTGCTTCCCAATAACTGTGTAAATCAGAGGGAGGAAACAAAACCTGACCAACAGAGCTGCAGTGAGAGGCGGAGCAACACTGGAAAGAGGAGAGCTGCAACGTCACACTCCAGAAATGAAAGTTAAGTTAGTCAGAGTGTGAGCCACGCTGCAGTCGAGACAAGTCTCTGTTTCTCTCTAAAAGAAAATTCACACTGACTTCATCAGGTCTTTGTCAACAACACAGCAGAGTCTCTGCCCAACACTGGTGAGTACAGCTGATCATATTTACACTTTCAACAACCAGTACTAACACTAAACTTCAGCTACACTCAGACAGCAAGTTCCACTCTTTTCTCTTCATACTTATGAAACGGATAACAATATAACTGTGGCTGTTTGTCCACAGACCCACTGTACAGTAGCTCACTTTAACAGCTTAGTCTCGATGTCAGTTCTCAGGACTTAAGTAACTGAATCTCTGGTTCCTAGTTTTCCTGCTATTGTGACTGTTTACCGATTGCTTCCTACATGTTGCTTCCTCTACTTCCTCTGGCTGTTTCACAATAAAAGTTTTCCACCAGCGAGTCAGTGAGCACTTTAAATCTGAAGCAGCTGAAGGAAATGCAATGTGTTTATTATCAAGTAGGCAGCGCTTTGTTAGCAGTGCTGTTCTTTAATTTAAACTGGCCTACCCAACAGGATCTGGACATATTTGGTGCTGTTTGAGTATCTAGCTTGAGTTAGTCAGTGCTGCTTAAATTGATGCTGTCGCTCACAGCTCAATGCAAGTTAAAACGTGGCATGTGTAACTCAGAAATTACTTCACTGTTTACATGGTGTGCTTAAATAAGTATTTCAGTGCTGGAAAGATGGTCTGTGGCATTTGCCTTTGCCGAAGACGTAAAAACCTGTAACTACCAGTACGCACTGCGTTGCATCCATCAATAAACTTTCCTACTGGTGGATGCAACGCAGTGCGTACTGCGTTGCGTTGCATCCATCAATAAACTTTCCTACTGGTGGGTGACATAATTGCGAGTTGCCTGTTCGAAAATAATCATGGCGGCCAGCTGATAACAAATGATCAGTGTTGGGAAGTAATATAACAAATTACCACAAGGATTTCGGCTAATATCATTACATTTACAATGTCATGAAATAAAGTGTTTATTGTTTTCATTTTTTATTTATCCACACTGATCAACGTCTCTCTACTTCCGCCAGTGCCCCTTGAATTTGTTTTTTCATCATTCCTGTGATCAACATACATGGATGATGTTAGTTTCCATTCACATCCCCTACAACTGCAGAGCAACACCGGCACACAGTCTAGTTCTTACATTTAATTCTCCCTCTGGTGCTGCTATAGCTGACTGGCACACTGGGAACCGGCAGGTGGGTCCTCCAGCTGCGGTGTTTTCATTTGTGCTCGTCATAGTGATTTACTCGCACGCCATTCTGTTCAGTGCTAACCTCAATATTTGTTTATTGTGTTTCATATCATAGGCAAACAAATATTTATCCATATCTGATAATGATCAGACTTTGATCCTCTGCCTGACCATCCCTGTGTCCATAGCTGTTCATTTATTTTAAGCGGTCTAGGTTGTTTAATTGATCTATATCATCGTGCTCTTACTGATATAAGCAGGGGATGTTAATACAAACTAGGGCTGTCAAAATTGCTCAAAAACGATGTTTGAATATTCCTTCTAAAAATAACTCATAGGTTCGAACCATTTGAAAAAAAAATTCGCATTATGTCCACAAGAGGGCAAACTAATACAAGGAAACATACTTGTATATGTATTAATACAAGGAAACATAACTACTTGTAGGTATTTTTATTTCAACATAAACGTCTTAAAAAACATTTACATACCTACATATTAAAACACATATAACAATTATCTATAACATTACGTTATAAATGACTGCGGACCTCTTACTCGCCCCCTGTCAGGCCACACCGCCCGCGGAAGCGCTGCAAATAGCCTCGAAGTGAAGCCAGTTTCCTTTCAGCGCCCATGTTAACCAATTGTGTCATCCACACCGGCCGCGCAGCGCAGTTCCGTGGCCAGCTCGCACCCTGCAGCGATTGTTTTGGCGTCTGGTCTATTTTCTGCGCGAGACGCAAGCGAAAGTGTCAAGTCAGGTGACGGAGACAACAGCTGGGAGCAGAACCACTTGTCGACCAGCGTGGAGAAATGCACGTCTGATGTGAACGGAAGTGCTCCAGCTCGTGTGAGAATTTCAGTGCGCTGCGCTTCGCAGCACTTCCGTGGGCAGTGTGGCCCATGCAGTGCGTTCAGTGTAGCGGCCCAGGCCAACGCCCACTCACAAAGAGGACAGCTGCGGTGGTGTTTTTTTTCCTCCACAATCGAATATCTACTTTCACATTCGAAGGTCCATTTTTTTTTTTCAAATTTGAATTTAAATTCGAATTTAGAATATTCGTTGACGGCCCTAATACAAACTGGAGCTTCTGTGAAACATGACCCTCATCCATTTAAATAAAC